CTTGAATTAAGACCTATAGAGTTTGGAATAACACCAGACAACCGATTTGAACTAAATATCATGGTATGCAGCCCTTGCATATTCCCAAGACATTTCGGAATTTTCCCATTTAGCCTATTTCTGGACAGATCAATATAGTTTAAATCTTTCCTTCTACATAACGACCTTGGAATTGACTCATTGAAAAGGTTATTCTGCACATCTAATGCCGCCGTAACTCCATCTCCGGTCAAATCAAAATTTCCCCCATTAGGAAGGTTGGTCAAAGGTCCGTTGAGTTTGTTGTGAGAGAGATCTATGAGAGGAATGATGGGCATTTTCCGCATCCATGTGGGTAGAGGTCCTGAAATTGAAGCATTCGATAATACTAATGTCTTGAGTTTTCTTTGATTTCGAAGCCATTGTGGAAATCCATTTGCAATATTGCAAGAACTAAGGTGAAGACCTATCAATTTGAATGGAGGGATCCACTCGGGTGAAACATTGAATGTCAATTTAGTGTTGTAAGAAGTATCCAAGTACTTGAGCATCGAATGGTTAGCAAAATGGGCTTCAAAAACTACTCCTTCTAAAGAATTGTTGGAGACATCTAGAGAATGAAGTTTGGCAAGTTTCCCCAATGAAATTGGAATAGTCCCATTTAAAAAATTCCAAGTCAGAGAAACTGATTGTAAAGAAACAAGTCTACCTAGAGATGTTGGGATGGGCCCCGTTAACCGATTGTATCCGAGATACAGATTTGTTAAGGTTTCGATATTTCCAAGGGATTCTGAAATTGAACCATTCAATTGATTATAAGAAAGGTCAAGTTTGCAAAGTTTACCCTGGAATGTTGGAATTGGACCAGTTAACTCGTTATTGGATAGATCTAATACTTCTAAAAACCTTAATCTTCTTAGTGATTCAGGGATTGGACCAATCAATCCATTGCTTGATAGATCTATTTCTCTTAAATTGACTAATCTTCCAAATGCATCTGGAATTGTACCATTTAAACTTGAACTTAGATCCAACCCCTCCAAAGCATATTGAGAGCATTCTGAAGAGTTTTTTGGGGCGTGGCTCATTTCTTTATCAAAATTATTGAATGATGCACTCAATTTTTTCAAGCGACACAGTCTCCAAATTCCAATCTGCTCAATCTGCTTAAACTCATTAGAAGAAACATCAAGCTCTAGAAGATTAGGCATTAAAGGAACCGATGAATTCAATATGTTCCCTGAAAGGTCAAGGACACTTAGGGAACTCATGTTTGTTAAAACAGGTGGAACCATGCCTTCAAGAAAATTTCTGCTAAGATCCAGATGTTGGATATTAGAAAGTGTACTGAAATTAAGATGATGGGGTGATAGAAACGTCTTATCAAGCCCACAACTTGATAAACGCAGCTTTGATAAAGAAGGGATCATGTTTAGCAAGTTTGCAAAGTTCCATGCTAAACTAAAATTAAAGTGTGAAAGATCCAAGAATGCTAGGGATGTCATATTTTTTAAAAAGCCAGGGAGTGGACCACTGAAATGATTAAAGCCAAGATCCAGGTGTTCGATGTTAGGAAGCATTCTACTCGAATTAAGAAAAGGACCAAGATCAGCATTGGAAAGTCCACAATATGACAAACTTAACTTTTTTAACGAAGGAATCATGAAAAACACCATGTGCAAGTTGTGTACTCCACTAAGATACAATGAACTCAAGTCAAGATGCTCGAGTGAAGAAAGGCCATAAGTCCATGCCATATCATCTACCACCAGCCCCATGTTTGAACTGAGATCAAGAACCTTTAGATTAGAAAGATTTCCAAGGTGATGAGGAATAATACCTTCAAAACCAGCATGCGAGAGATTGAGGTATGCCAACTTTTTGAAGGATCCAATGAACTCAGGGATCCTGCTTCCACCAAAATAATTCCCACTGAGGTCCAAATATTTTAAATGCCTCAACTCTGCCAAAGAAGATTTCAGCTCATTACCATCTAAGAAGTCGCGTTCAGGATCTAAGTAGTACTGATTGGGAGGGAAAGAAGATGACATGCTTCTTAGAAGAAGACTATCAACATGCCCAGTGACACTGTCACAGTGGATTCTTTCCCACCAGCAACAGTCATTGCCTACCCATGATGACAACATATCAAGGTCATCTTTGACGCTCTGTTTGAACTTGAGAAGAGCAAGACGCTCTTTCTTAAAGCATCCCACACTGGTATTTTGAGCACCCAGACAAGTATATGTAGTGGCAACCAAGAAAATAGTAACGAAAGTGATATGGAGCCCTAAACCCCTCGGATTCCCCATTATCAGCCCCAGCTTGATCAGTTTAATTTAGAAAAGATTGAAGTGGAAAGATAGGTTGTTATGATGAGATCATGGGTTAATATGATCATGAAACTGGTTCCTTTATAGAGCCATAAATTAGGAACAAGTTATTGTCATGGTCCCATAGAAGACTTAAAGTCAGCAGACAATTTGAATCCACTCACCGGTTTTCTTTAGGTCATTTTCTTTTAACAAAATATGAATTGAACAAACCCAGTTTTTGACAGACAAACATTTACATTTTTGCGAAATCAAAATATAGTTGATATATTTTTTAGATAACAGTTATAAATAATAAACTCTATTTTGATGTTCAATAATTCACAAAACTAACAAGAAAATGAGTTTGATCATTCAATTGTTTGACTGAACGAGTTTGATGTGTTACCTAACATAAGATAATTTCTATTGGTTTAAATTCAAATTGTCATCTTATCTTTTATAAAATTGTAGTTTTGTCAAATGGACTATGATATAATTAGAAGTGACAATATTGTCACATTTAATTGGAAACTGGTAAAATCTAGAACCCTAGCTAAAAACCATAGTTTTGTCAAATAAATAAATTATTTTGTTCATTAGTCAATGTGTTCACATGAAATAATACATAAATCTATGCCATGATAGACCTGTCACCTGACTTTGAAGTCAAGAAAGTTGCCCCCAAAGTTAAAGTCTTTTGTTTTTTATTATTAGAGTAAGTTACAAGAAAGGTCCATTTGACATACCAAAATCTAGCACATTAAGTACAAATTTCAATTTTGTTGTAAATCTGTCCCTAACTTTGGTTTTTGTTTTGGCACTGGCCCCTTGTAGTAACAAACAAGACGTTAATGTATGACATATCTGCCCTCATTTTGTCTTTTTCTTATTCACATTATCACATTTACATATTCCTTCCCCTCGTCTTCCGTTAATTTCTTGAAAATTCTGTTTCTAGGGCTTTTCTACTATGGGTGTTTGTTGGTAGCAAGTTCTTGGGCTTTCTTGGATAGGTATTGATGGGGGGTGGTGATCATCGGATGAAGAAGGAGGGAGGGCCAGTGATATAGGGGCAAAAGGTTAAAACTGGAAATGGAGATTGAGGTCAAGCTTATTATTGTAACACAAGGGCATAAGATTTTTTTGGTTATTTATTCAATATGTCTTTTAATTCTTTTGTCTTGAAAAATATAAGTCTCAACCAAGAGGTGTGTTGGGAGTGGGGGTGTTAGTTATTAGTAGAAATAACAAAAGAAAAACAAAAAACAATATAAGAAAGACAAAAAAACGAAGGTTAAAAAGTCATTTTACAAGGGTTTAACAATCATTTACCAACGGAGGGACATATTACATAACAAAATCCAAACTTAAGGGAAATTAAGAATGCTACAAATTCAAAAGTTAGACAGTTAGACTTGGTTTTGGTATACCACATGGACAATTTATATAATTCACTCTTATTACTATTACTATTATTATTATTATTATTATTATTATTATTATTATTATTATTATTTAACATGATGGTACGGGACTTTAGGGTCCCTAAATTACATGCAACATTTAGCTTGTTTATTTGTTTTTTTTTTATTATTATAGTTAACTGTGGGTTTCTTAAATTACAAGGTCTTTTTTGGTTGGACAAAATGGAAGTGGAAGAGCTAATGGAATGGATCATTCTCATTCCATTGTTATGTTTGGTTGCTCTACTGGAATGGAATGAGTGAATAATCCATATTGTTTTGTAGGAGGAATTGATTAGTGAATGGAATGAGTGAATAATCCATATTGTTTTGTAGGAGGAATTGATTAGTGAATGGAATGAAATTAACTACCAATTACGAAGATATCCTTTAGAGATATATCAAAAGAAATGGTAATCAATAATCAAATTAAATTAACCCTCGAGTGTATGGTTGTAATCTTTTTAATAAAGCCTTCATGCATGTGAACACATTCTTTACCCTGTAAGCCACCCCATGGTCCATGTGTTCTGCATTCTTCCTATAACCCATCAAAATCACTGTATCTTCATAAAGCATTAATGTACTATTTTTTTTCATAAGATAAGAATAGAACAAAAAAACTGAGCATGTCAAAAGTATCCCTTTTACTTCACAAATTATGGAACAAGTCCAAAGAGGATCTTTAATCAAGAACAACATTAGATTCAATCATTTCATCGAACACTTTATATGCATAAATTTTTCAACAAAAACTAATTTGTGCAAGTTAATTCAAATGGAGTATTGGAAACCAAATGACCAAAAACTGATTAAACAAATCAACACATGCCTTTAAAGTGACATCTGTTTAACACTTCAACTTCAGTTTCAATGAACGACCTGCTACAAATATTGATGAGCAGTAAAATGATTATAATAATGATCAAAAATTTTGGAAAAAAGAGATTTAGGAGATTGTTGTACACCTCATTCGTTACATGAAAACGAGAAAATGTACAAATGAGAAAATTTCAGATGAGAACTGCTGAAGGCAGGTCAATAGTGGGAGTGAGAGCAACAGGCACAGTATTTCATATTTAAATCCTACCACTCATGGATTTTGGGTATTCAATTCAATAGCAGTCCAATCTAAATGTCATGTAAATATAGTTGTACAATAACAATTTGAAAAAGAAAAATAATCATTGATTTGTACAATAACAGTTTTAGAAATTCAAGAATAACTTGGAATCCAAAGGATCTATGGAGCTTCTCTTCCTCTCTTCATCATGGCAACTCTAACCACAACTCCAATGTATATCTTGTCTATGGTCTCCTCAGCAAACATAAAAAGCTTCCTTCTCCATTGCTTCTTGAACAACAAAACTCCAATAATACCCCAAAACCCTGTCACAAAACCACTCATTATGTCCACGTAAAACCAAACCTTTTTCGGCTCTTCACCTTCTTCATAGCTCTTCTTGCTTGTTGTATAGTCTTCATAATATGAGCAATTGTTTGGCAATGGAGGTCCACATAGATCTTTGTTCCCAACATATATTGATGGATCTGCAAGGGGCTGCAATTGATGTCCGGTTGGAATTCGTCCTGACAAATGATTGTGTGACAAATTCAAATGGCTCAAAAATGTCAAAGCTTCCATGCTTGAAGGTATCATCCCTGTCAACTCGTTTCTTGAGAAATCGACAGATTCTAACTTGGTCATGTTTCCAATGTTGTTTGGAATACCCCCACTGAGAAGATTATTAGACAAATTGAGACCCATCAACATAGAAAGCCGAGTTAGCTCAACCGGAATTTCTCCAACAAGTTTATTGCTTGAAAGGTCCATGTTAAGAACAAGATCCCAAGTCCTTGTATACTCAACATCTACACCTTTCATGACCTGAATCACATTCTCATCAGAATCCGGTGAGATGAGACGCCAATTTGGGTTACGGTTAGCCATGCCACTCAACTGTCCAAGACAAGGAGGGATTGTTCCTGTTAAGCTGTTGTGTGCAACATCCAAAATTTGAAGATTTGAAAGTCTGCAAAAAGATCGAGGAATTCTTCCGCTGAAGTTATTTCTGTGTAACCTCAAAACCATCGGATTAAGTTTTTCTCCGATCCATTCTGGTATATTTCCATCAAAATTATTGTCACCCAAATCTAAGACAGCTAAACTTTGAAAATTCATGATCTCTCGAGGAAGTTCCCCAGTAAAGTTATTGCCATTCAAATGTAACCGATATAATGATATAAAACTTGGAATGACACTAGACAACCGATTTGAGCTAAGTATCAAGGCGTTTAACTTTTGCAGATTCTCAAGACACCTAGGAATTTTCCCAATCAACCTATTTCTAGAGAGATCAAGATATTCCAAATATGTCCTGCACATGGAGCTTGGAATCTTCTCGTCGAAAAGATTATTTTG